CGATGTACCGTGGGGCACTGAGGCAACTGCTTTCGGTACTGAAAGGATCATGGGACTTAGTAACTATAGGGTTATAATTAAGGTAACGATAATTATAACTACTTATAACCCCAATTAAGGTACTTATAACTTTATAAGTCCCATGATCTTCCAAGTAGGGTTCTCAGGTTGTTCAAAATTTTTTAGAGGTCAACAGCGCCATATGGATTTCGGGACTATACTTCGAGTCGACTACAGACCAACATGTGCTTGCAAGCCGGCCAGCCTCGGTAAACGCCCCAAGTTCGGAGTATGCAGCTTCACATGAAGAATACGTTCGTTGAAACAAGATTTTTCGCACATGGATGCATGCACGTGGGCTCTATATATATGCACGCACAAAGTCCCGCGCGAAACCCGCGCGAAGGGCGCGTGTGAAGCGCGCGAAGCGCGGGGCGTGCGAAGGGCGCGAAGCGCGCACAAAGCCGCGCGAAAAGCCGCGCGAAGCCACGCGAAGGCCGCGAAGAGCGCGATCGGCGCGAAGCGCGCGAAGCGGCGAGAAGCCGCGCGGAGGCGCGCGAGAGGCGCGTGAGATGCGCGAAGCGCACGAAGCAGCGCAAAGCGCGCGAGACGCGCGAAGCGCGCGAAGGCGCGCGGAGGCGCGCGAGACGCGCGAAGCGGCGCAAAGCGCGCGAAGGCGCGCGGAGCGTCGCGCGGAGCGGCGCGAAGCCGCGCGAAGCGCGCGAAGGCGCGCGGAAACGAGAAGCAAAGCTTCATCTGGCTATTTGACCTTTTTTGGTTGTATATTTGACTTTTTTTGTGGGCCTTATGGAAGTTGTTTTCGTTGGGTTTCGGCCCTTTTCGTTGGGGTTCGGCCCTCCCGAAACAGGGGGGCTGCATGCGCCAGGAAGAGACCAAAAACATACATTTTGTGGGCTAATGGCATAGTAGTTCCCTTCGGCTCAAAACGAAAACTTGAAAACACCTATGGTTTGTGCGGCTCAAATACATCACCTTCGGCTCAAAACGAAAACTTGAAATCACATATCGTTTGTACGGCTCAAATGCATCACCTTCGGCTCAAAACGAAAACTTGAAAACACATATCGTTTGTGCGGCTCAAATGCATCACTGGACCGACCATGTTTTCCAAACCAAGGCAAAACATAGGGTTTGAAGGCTTAAACCTATAAGTGCTTTTCCCGTGGTTTAAGGGGCAGGAATTTCGGGGTTATTATTCTGGTTCCAAACATAAGCCCAATCCCTGTGAATAGTTGCACGACGAGCTCCCTACAACCCCAAGCCTGGACCCCAAAAACCCGGCACCCCAAACCCCAAACCAACAACACTATTAAGGCCTTTGCCCCTAACAAAACCCACCCCTCGCCCTAAGCCCTAAGTTGCTTCCTTGTCCCCAAACATAACCTCGTCTCGTCATCTCGTCTTCTTTGACTCAACATCTGCGAGCACACCGGCGAGGACGGGGATGGTTCAGGGTTGGCTGCTGCGTGGCTCTGAGAGAGAGCAACCAGCAGCAGGGGTGCTGAGAGAGCATCCCGGTACTGAGAGAGTACCGAAACATGGGGCACTGGGAGAGTGTCCCGGTCCTGAGAGAGGGCCGAAACCAGGGGCACCGTGAGAGTGTCCCGGCCCTGAGAGAGGGCCAAAACCGGCACTGAAAGAGTGCCTGAAACAGACACTGGGAGAGTGTCAGGGGTGTGTGGGGTGTGGGGGCGTGGTCATGGCTGAAGAGGCCACAACTGGCCAAACCTGGTCCCCACACCCCCACAGTCTTTGCTTGCTCATATCATCTTCTCGGGCTAAACGAATTCAAACGGCTGCATGCAATTGCCACATTCATCTGAGCAAACGTAAGGAAAGTCATGCGCGCGCAAGCTGCCTGGAAATCGGCAAAAGCTTTGTCGGTGCTTCAAGCAGAGACCGAGTAGAGAGGTTTGCCGGCTTGCCGCAGTCTTATTCTTTTTCGGTAGACCAGTGACCAGCGACGTCAGCTGTAGCTTTGCACCCTCATTCCAAAGTCTGCATGAGGGACGGAGGGCACGTGCTGCATCTCAGCGCCGTGCTCCACCGGAATGCCAAAACGGCTAGGCTAATGAATAGAGTGGCTATGCTTGGCAACAGTGACAAATGTCCTAGTTGCTGGGACAGTGTAAAGCACTGTGCTTCTTCTCCACCCAGCTAGCATTTTCAACGAACGATAGAATCGCAAAGTGCGTGAAAAGGGTAAGCAGGTGTAGACTGCTTTTGTTTGCCTCACCTGTTGCTATCCGATGCTACGGCCAGGCAGCGTAACAGGGCCGCCAAAGCGCTCAGCGAGCACGCCGGCACCATCACCTGCCGGAAGCTCGAAGGATTGGCATTGATAGCTCCTTTGTTTTGGTGGCCAACTGCGGAAGTCTTCCGAAAAGTCCGAATTGGTGCACTGGAGCGGATGTGGCCACGACCACAGAGACACCAAAACCGAGCGATCGGGGGGGGCGGGAATCCTGCACCCCGAGATCGCCCGAGTTCGGTCGAAACCGAGCGATCTAGGTATCAAGCCATATGATCCGAGCGAAGTGACCCCGCGCCAATCCTGCACCCCCACTTCGCCTGGAATCGAAACCTTCGGAGGGAGATCGCCCGAGTTCGATCGAAACCGAGCGATCTCCAGGTGCACGAAATCTGCGGGTGGAGATCGCCCGGAACTGAAAGGTTTGGATGCTACTTCAAAGCTGCTTTTAGGTCGCATGGGGATATATCACTGCAGTCTTGAGCATGCTGCAAAGTTGCGTTTAAGCTTGAACATCACAAGTCCTGGGCATGCTTCAAAGCTGCGCTTGCCAGAAGGTCGCAAAGCCTTCTATAGGGTACGCCTGCCAGTCTCATGACGGACTGTAGGATCCGGGCGAGAGCTTGTTCCACTGGGGCCGCGCAGATCTCAGATCTACGCCTATCGGACACTTGTGAGACGTGTTCACGGCTCTGCAGTTCTGTGTGCAACGTCGCAGCTGCTGTTAAGGCTATCACGGAGGGTTGGCTGGACCTTGGACCCGGAAATTCCAAGATACAGAGAAAGTGGCTGGTGCTCTGAAAGGAAGAATGTGCGCCCCACACCCCACACACCCCACACACCCCACACACCCCACACAACCCACACCCCACACCTCACACCCCACACCCCAGACCACCCCACACCCCACACCCCACACCCCGCACCCCGCACCCCCGCACCTCCGCACCCCCGCACCCCGCACCCCACACCCCATAAACCCCACCACCACCACACCCCACCCCACACACCCCTGACACTCTCCCAGTGTCTGTTTCAGGCACTCTCTCAGTGCCGTTGGCCCTCTCTCAGGGCCGAAACACTCTCACAGTGCCCCTGCTTTCGGCCCTCTCTCAGGACCGGGACACTTTTCCAGTGCCCCATTTTTCGGTACTCTCTATGCTCTCTCAGCACCCCTCCTGCTACTGGCTCTCTCTCAGAGCCACGCAGCAGCCAACCCTGAACCATCCCCGTCCTCGCCGGTGTGCTCGCAGATGTTGAGTCAAAGAAGACGAGATGACGAGACGAGGTTATGTTTGGGGACAAGGAAGCAACTTAGGGCTTAGGGCAAGGGGTGGGTTTTGTTAGGGGCAAAGGCCTTAATAAGTGTTGTTGGTTTGGGGTTTGGGGTGCCGGGTTTTTGGGGTCCAGGCTTGGGGTTGTAGGGTGCTCGTCGTGCAACTATTCACAGGGATTGGGCTTATGTTTGGAACCAGAATAATAACACCGAAATTCCTGCCCCTTAAACCACGGGAAAAGCACTTATAGGTTTAAGCCTTCAAACCCTATGTTTTGCCTTGGTTTGGAAAACATGGTCGGTCCAGTGATGCATTTGAGCCGTACAAACGATATGTGTTTTCAAGTTTTCGTTTTGAGCCGAAGGTGATGCATTTGAGCCGTACAAACGATATGTGATTTCAAGTTTTCGTTTTGAGCCATTCGTGAGGCATTCGTACAAACGATATGTGATTTCAAGTTTTCGTTTTGAGCCATTCGTGATGCATTTGAGCCGCACAAACCATAGGTGTTTTCAAGTTTTCGTTTTGAGCCGAAGGGAACTACTATATGCCATTAGCCCACAAAATGTATGTTTTTGGTCTCTTCCTGGCGCATGCAGCCCCCCTGTTTCGGGAGGGCCGAACCCCAACGAAAAGGGCCGGAATCCAACGAAAACAACTTCCATAAGGCCCACAAAAAAGGTCAAATATACAACCAAAAAAGGTCAAATAGCCAGATGAAGCTTTAAGCCCGAAGCGGCGCGAAGCCCGCGGAGGCGCGCGGAGCGCGCGAAGCCGCGCGAAGCGCGCGAAGGCGCGCGGAGGGGTGCCATGCAGATGCGCGCGAGAGGCGCGAAGCGGCGCGAAGCGCGCGAAGTGCGCGAAGCCACGCGAAGCGCGCGAAGAGGCGTCAGAGACGCGTGAGAGGCGTGAAGCGGTGCGAAGCGCGCGAAGCGCGCGAAGGCGCGCGCGGAGGCGCGAAGCGCACGAAGCGCGCGAGGCCGCGCGAAGCCACGCGAAGCGTGCGAAGGCGCGCGAAGCGCGCGAAGCGCGTAGGGCGCGCCCCAGGGGGACCATATACTCACTGTAGCAGGGACGAGAAGATAAAGCTTTTTGATCTCCTGGACCAGAGCCGCAGGATCAGATTGTACCATCCCGGTCAAGTTCGAGAAAGGTTTGGTTCAGGTGTCTTCGCCGTGCTCAAGTCACTGCAGTATGATCGACTTATTTTAGATTCGAGACCGCACAACCTTCTCGAGAACCTGCCAGGACGTTTCATCTACTCCCTCGGCTCCGCTGAAGTTCTTTCACATATTCATCTGGAGGCTGGGGAAAGATTATATATGTCATCCAACGACATCCGCGACTTTTATCACCTCTTTCGTGTCAATGATGAAAGAAGCCGGCGCAATGTCCTTGTAGGGTCTGTTGCTCCTGGTGAGGTGGCGCATTTGAGCTGTTTTCAGAAGCACATGTACCAGTATGATCGGCTCTATGCTGGGCTCTCCTGCCTGGCTATGGGCGACACTCAGGCTGTGGAACTTGCTCAGACTTGCCATCTCGGATTATGTTTGCAACACGGTATCGTGAGCCAGGACAACCTGTTGGGAATGAAGCTCCCGGTGCCCAGATCTAAGACGGGCTGTGGACTCGTCATTGACGACTTTGTGTCTTACTCCATCGAGTCCCGGTCCCCGTTTGAGGTCGGACAGTCTGGGACAGCCGGTGCTCAACTTGCAGATGCGGCTCACGCGGCCTACTCCCAAGTCAAGCTCATTCCCCATGAAGAAAAAGCTGTTCGTGATTGCCTCAGGTGCGAAATGTGGGGCGCTCTTATCGAAGGGGAACCTGGCTTACTGCGCGGGTCACTCAAACGAGCTGCTCCACTGCGCAAAATCATCTGCGAAGTCCTGAGCATAGGAGCCGTCACGGTGGGCCTCCTTGAGATTGTGGCGGGAGGCCTTATTGCACTTTTTGTTCTGCGACGTCGGCTCATGTCACTGTTAAACATCATCTTTCGAGAAATGAAAGGCCGTTTCCAGAATGAAGCCTTCACTATCTGCCCAGAGCTACGTGAAGAACTTCTGTTGGTGTTAGGGCTAGTCACGACTGCCGTTGTGGAGCTTAGGTCGAGCTACTCGCCGAAGGTCTACATGGTCGATGCTTCTGATTGGGGCGAGGCCGTCTGCTCCACCTTTGTGGGGACTGCTCTCTCGAAAGAGATTTCTCGTCATGCTCTCCGAAAAGGAATTTGGACGCGGCTCTTGAGCCCTTCTCTGGCTCGCGAGCGGAGCCACGGATGTTTAAGCCCCGCTGAAGAAGTGCCTGGTGGCCCGGATTTTTGCTATCGTGCGCATCCTCTCTGGGTCAAGCTGGCTAAGGCCTGCGATTTCGGAGTTGAATGGTCCAGGCGGGCTTCTAAACGGCGGCACATCAACATCGGTGAGCTGCGGGCTTATCTGAAGGCCGAGCGTCTGGGAAAAATCCCCGGACACCCTACGCGAAGCTGCGTGGGAGGAGACTCTCAAGTTACCTTGGGAGCAGCGCTTAAAGGGAGGTCAGCAAGCCCATCACTCAACCAGGAGTTGCAGCAATCCCTGCCTCACGTCATTGGGCTGGGGCTTTACAACTATGCGCTTTATTGCCCCACATCTGTGAACCCGGCCGACCATCCAACCCGAGGGAGTGACATTCCTCCTCCTGACGAAGGAAGGCCGTGCTGGTGGGCATCAGCGCTGGAGGGGAACTTTGCGGACCTTGACAGGTGGTTAGCCGAACAAGGAGCTGATCCCTACACTCTCTCAGAGCTACCGCCTCTTTCCGAGCTGCTTAAAACTGAAGAGAGAACCCTTGCTTCCAAGGAAGGCAAGCGGCATCAGCTACACATCCGAAGAGAACGAGATGCTCGGCATGATTGCGTCGGGCCTGTACTGAGGACACCGGCCCAGTTTGAGAGAGCTCGTGGGAAGGTGGTCCTCCCAGCGGGTCGATCGCTAGCTGAGGTCGCCTGGTCCCCCGGCTACCTAGACCTGTTTGCGGGAAAAGGAGGTGTAGCTCGTGAGCTTGCACGGCTGACAGGTCGCTGGGTGCTGTCGTACGACATAACAGCCAACACTGACCAGGACCTGTTGAACACTTCAGTTCAAAACGAAATTATTGAGCTGATGATGTCAGGAGCCATCTTAGGATTTGGAGCCTCCCCATCGAGCTCTTCTTTTTCAAGGGCTATCACTCCGGCTTGGAGGACTGCTGCTCTGCCGCTTGGGGTCCCTCGCCTCACCGAGGAACAACAGAGCAAGGTGCTTAGAGAAATCAGATCTCAAACTTCGTCTCGCGTATTTGTTCGTTGGGGCTGAGACTGCAAATCCCCTTTTGGATTGAGAATCCGTCCACTTCGTTCTTGTGGAACCTCGAGCCTCTGAGAGCTCTTGCTGCCGAACCAGGTGTGGGCTTTTGGGTGCTCGATTTTTGTGCATTCGGGACCCCTTGGAGGAAGCGCACACGGATCCTCACGAGCACATGTTTAGCCGGTCAGCATACCATGTGCCCTGGATGTAAGACTCACCAAGCCCTCAGAGGCAGGTCGTGGTTGCACAGATTGAGCTGGACAAAAATCGCCGAGCCTTTTCCTTCAAGGGTCAGTCTGATCCTTGCGATGGCGCTGTCTGGCGCCAGCGGGGACATTGCCGAATACCGCGAGATTGAAGCGCGGAAGTTTGCTGTTGCTCGGCATGCCTAGGCCTAAGCGGCTCACTGCGGCGGACCGCGCCGCCAACCGAGCCGGGGTCATTTTGTCTGAAGTTCCGTTAGTTGGAGCTACGACAGAGAAGCTGGAAAAACGGCTGTGGGAAGGCTTCTTGGAATGGATTGGTGAAAATTGCAGCTCGCAAGCTGCCGCTTCTTTGTGCGAGGCTGCCGTTACCATTGCAGTCTTGCTCAAGTTGTACGGCGAACACCTCTTCTCTGTTGGAGCTCCTCTCAGCTCGTTCCGACATTTGATCACCTATGCCCAGCGTTCCTATCCGGACTTTCGCTTGCATTCAAAAGTATGCTGGGAATATGTCACAAGGTGGGAGCTCGTGGAGCCGCTCATCCACAGAGTTCCCCTTCCTGTGAAGCTCTGCGAGGCGATGGCGGCCGTAGCGTTCAGTTGGAGCTGGCCGCGATTCGGCCTCGTGTTGTTGATATCCTTTTTCGGAATTCTACGAATCGGGGAGGTTATCCATGCCTCCAGAGACTGTTTGGTCTTGCCAAATGATCTATTGTCTGACAGTGTGGACAGAATGTTCCTTCGTGTGTCCCAGCCCAAAACTGAGGCGGCGGCAAACAACAGCATGTCACCATTCAGCATCCTGAAGTGGTTGCCGCGTGTGAGACAGTGTTTGGCCGGGCCAAGACTTCGGAGCCGCTCTCTTCTCTTTCTGCCCAAACGTTCAGAAGGAGATGGGACGCTGTCTTGGAGGCGCTGCATGTACCTAAGAGTGTGAACCTCACACCGGGCAGCGTCCGTGGGGGTGGAGCAGTACATGCTTATCAATCGGGAGTTCCAGTGCAAGACCTTCTCTGGAAGATGAGGATTCGGCATGTGCACACCCTCCAACATTATTTGCAAGAGATGGCAGCAGAGCATGTCATCGGACATTTGCCAGGGCCTTCCAAGGTTTCTGTTCGAGCAGCTTCCTCTTGCCTTTCTCTTTTCCTTCGCGCTTTGTGATCACTGCCGAGGACCTGTCCATGGCCAGGTGCATGTCTGCACAGCAAGCACCTTCTCGCACCTCGAAGTGGCCTGCCTAGAAGTGGTGGAAGCGGACTTTTCGGCTACGTGGTGACGAACTTGGAGGTCCGGGAGCTCTTCTTCTACACCTTCATGGTGCTTCTTCGCTTCCGGTTACACGATCCTCCGCTTTGTCGTCACCTCCGAGCTTCCAGTTCTGCTGCCGAAAACTCGGCATAGCAAACCTCACTTGTGGGCCACGCAGTGAAAAAGAGGGGACCGACCTTTGATGGAGCGAGCAAACATGCCCACTTCATGTTTGCAAGTGAAGGCTGGTCGCAGCTTCTGGGCCCTCCCGCCCTCCCGTGGCTGTCGCCTCTTTGTGGCGCTGGAAGCGGACTTTTCGGCTACGTGGTGACGAACTTGGAGATCCGGGAGCTCTTCTTCTACACCTTCATGGTGCTTCTTCGCTTCCGGTTACACGATCCTCCGCTTTGTCGTCACCTCCGAGCTTCCAGTTCTGCTGCCGAAAACTCGGCATAGCAAACCTCACTTGTGGGCCACGCAGTGAAAAAGAGGGGACCGACCTTTGATGGAGCGAGCAAACATGCCCACTTCATGTTTGCAAGTGAAGGCTGGTCGCAGCTTCTGGGCCCTCCCGCCCTCCCGTGGCTGTCGCCTCTTTGTGGCGCTGGAAGCGGACTTTTCGGCTACGTGGTGACGAACTTGGAGATCCGGGAGCTCTTCTTCTACACCTTCATGGTGCTTCTTCGCTTCCGGTTACACGATCCTCCGCTTTGTCGTCACCTCCGAGCTTCCAGTTCTGCTGCCGAAAACTCGGCATAGCAAACCTCACTTGTGGGCCACGCAGTGAAAAAGAAGGGGACCGACCTTTGACGGAGCGAGCAAACATGGTCTTTGTTTTTGCATGGATGACACACACACACAACACAAGGTGTACAGCCGAACGTATCGAAAGTCGCTAGCTTGTACAATATTTTGCAGTAAGAAGTTTCTGCATCCGTGTATCTCTTGGGTGTGTGACTAAACGAAGCTTTCATTCTGCTCACATGATTTCCGTAGTAAGCAAAAATTGGAGCACAATGTAACTGCTGTTGAAGTCGTCTCGATGGAGTGATCCTCAATTTTTGATGGCGGGTTCATTGACGAGCCCGAAAAACCCTTAGAATATGTGCCCCTGCACCAGGCAATGTGTAAGAACCAGCGTTTCACATCTGATCGCGCACATTCCACAAGCATCAAAACGTATTCAAACGAGTGTCACTCGCCCAGTGCTTAAAAGGAGCAGCGTGCTTTCTGGACGTGTGCATGTATCTGCAATTAGGTGTTGAATTATCCGAGAATCCGGTAGCGATGTGTCTTGGTGCGCATGTGTTAACTTACTATGCCTGTCGAGATTGTGTACACAGCTTGTAAGAAAAATGTCTGCGTGGTTCGAGTCTGCTGCAATATTGATTGGTGATATCTGGTGATGCTGGGCAAGTTCTCACAAAAGCTGCGCGCATTTTCAATCCGTGCCGTTGAGGATCTTGTTCGCGAGAGGCACGGCTTCGCACAAACGCAGCGCATGAACATGGCAATATCATTCCCGATGCAGCTGTGATTCGTGCTCAAAATATTGACGTGCCGGTAGAAGCAACCGTGAAAGCAAATCCCGAGCAGTGACACACCTAAAATGTGAACAGATACCTTCATCGCCGATACATTGGTGCATTGAGTGCCGTGGAAAAGTCCACAATTTGTTTGTCCATCTCCGATGTTTTGGCATGCAGCATCCAAGCGACGTTCTCAGCTGTTTGGCGCATGCAGACATGCATGTAACTGTTTTATTGAATGCGAGAACAGTCACTAGCAAAAGACTTATAATCATCATCATAGCAAACATATTGATAATAAGAGCAATCATGTTGATCCGATTGAGTTGGCAGTGTGCTGTGAGGTACTCGGCCCCAGGATTGTCATCTCAATCCCAGGAGGTGGGGGTGTTTTTGATGTCAAGCTGGCGTGTGATTGGGGATGCAGCGAGCACGCTTTAAAACACTCGTTGTCAGTGAAACTCGCGCCCCATGCAGCTGCAACCTCTGAGGATGGTCGGCCGGTGCAAAAGGCCATCAGAGCAGAGTTCCATGTGTAGTAGTGTAGTCTTGCACGTCATGTGGACAGCCCCGATTATTTGTTTTTCCACCCGAAAACACGGACTGCAATCCCGCATTTTTCTGTACTTTTTTACCAATGCCATGCATCGCTGTGCCAGGCTGCGCCAGCATCGCTGTGGCAGCTGCGCGGCAACGAATCAGATCAAGCGAGGCCTGGATTCATCAGCAAAGGTTACATGCTCAGTACTGTGACAAGTAAGTAACCATGTCTTGATGCTGCCACTTGATGATGCTTGTATATGTGTGTTGTCGGTTATATCAAACCTGCAGCATAGCATGTGTCTGTCCATGTGTATACATACACATACAACATCAGAATTGGTATGTGGAACGGTTGATCTGAATATCTACATAAAAACATCTGGTTTACATGTGTGCATATATGTATTTGGGCATACATGCTTATTCAGCTTTGTGCCTGTATATGTACATATGTATACATACATACGTGCATACATACCTACGTGCAGGCATGCATACATCATACATGCATGCATGCATATGCATATATACAGCGCATGCACATTGCACATACCTATATGCACGCATGCATGCATGCATACATACATACCTGCACATATGCCTGTGTACATAGCTATAATGTTACATACACAGATGTGCATACATACATGCAGACACACATGCATGCATACATCCTGTATGTTTGCATATAAGCAACTGAGAGAGCGTTGCGGCAGTCTTAGATTTTATACAGTTTTTTGCTATTGTTCGTTTTGTGGCGGCGCTATTCTACTGCCATTTTGTCGTCCTGTAGTTGCGCTAACACATGTACAGACACGTCTGCACAGCTCGGTCATTAGTTTGTTGCACAGTGCCTGTTGTTACATTGTGATATGCTGCGTTGTGTCACGTTCAATACGCCCCATTCAGTTTGCTTTAATTCCGCTATGCTTTTGTGCGAAGATGTACCTTGAATGGAATTTGTAGCATATTTAACAGGAAGAAATAAGGGGCCAATTGGACACATAGGAGAAACATAGGGGAGGGCGGGCCGGGGTTCCTTTTCCCCACTTGTAACTTTTCTTTTTGTGTGTGTATAGATATGGGCATACATATATGTTTATGTATGTATATGTGTACGTATATACGTACATACATATCTACATGGTCACGCACAGTCATACCTACCCGCAAGCCTACCTACCGATACCTTCCGACACCTGCGTACACATCTGTATGCATACATAAACATACATATACATTAATAGCAATGTAACTGTACGTGTGTCTGCGTACATATGCATGTGCATAAAATGTTCAAACATGCACATACTCCTGGTTCACTACGGTGCCGATCGTCGTTGGTTTGGCATGAACAGGCCAGCTTAATGCATGCGCCTGTGTGGAAGGTCAATAGCGGCCGCTGGGCCCTTTCATCATGACCAGGAAGCTTGGACACCCCAAAGGCTCGCATCCGGTGCTTTCTATTCAATCTTTGCACTTCTAGAGCCTCCCCTAGCCGAGAAGGGGGTTTCCGAAAACAGGGGGCCCTAATATGGTACCCTGGAGAGTAGGATCCTTATTATAAGGACCCCAGAATAAGGCACCCCGAGTTTTCGGAAATTCCCAGAAGGTGAATGCCGCACCCAGCTTTCGCTGCGGGGTTCTCGTGTTTCACGCTTGAGGCCTCCAGTCGCACCTCTCAGCGGATTGCAGGCTCAGAGTGCCATTTTCTCCAGAAGCGCTTGGGGACATTGTGTGAGACGGTTTCGGCCAACCTTCTGCAGTGCCTGGCTTTAGCTCCGGTTGTGAGCGCTGGCAGTACAAGTGTTTTCTTCAAAAGGGACGTCTGGCTCCGGTCACACTCAGCTGTTGTTGGAAGGCAGGTGCATCGCGCCACTCGCAGAGCACACCCAGGCTGGGGTGGTGCGCAGAGTCGGCAAAGCTTCTGAATGCGACTTGTGGGCGCACTGGCTTTTGGTACGCCGGACTCGTTGTCGGCCGTTGTCGTGATCTCTGTCACTAGACGTGAAGCCTTTTGTCCCCACTGGCTTCCAGCCTTTCGGTGCCTTTTGAGACTCCCAGGCCGAAAAAAGGCCTGGACAGTGAAGGTTCCCTGGGACTTCTGCATTTGCCAGCAGGTCAGGGTATCTTGGCCAACCAGAGCTGAGGCCTGGATCCTCAGTTGCATAGCTAACGCCTCGCGCGCAGCGACTCTTCAGGAATGTGGGGCCCCCCTCCGTTGCTGTTTCAAACTTTGGACCAGTAAGAGGGCTTGCGTTGCGGAGGAATTTGCGACGGGGCATGCTGCAGGGCTCGGGGTTGATGACTATCCCGAGTCTGTCCGAAAGCTCCCGAACCCCTGGGCCGAGCTTAGCTTTCATCAGGGTCTCCTGGCCGAGCTTGGAGATCGACCGTGCAGACGTGGAGGCATTGAACTGGTGGTCGGCCCCTGCGCGGTTCCTCTGAGATGTGCCGAGATGTGTGGGCTGGTGCCTGTCTCTTTATCCGTGACTTGTCAGAGGAGCCAACTGTATCGCAAAGCAACTTCGACAAGAAGTCTGGAGCATTTCTGTGGGCACATGCTCCTGTCTGCCATGCCAGGTTCTCCGAGGTGGAGTCGCGCCTCGCAACTGCGCTCCCGGACGCAAGGCGTCGTCAAGTCTGACAGAGCGCTCCGAAGCTCTCAGTTCCAGAGTACCCTCATGAACCGTTCTTAACAGGTCTCAGAACCCTAAAACCCTAAGCCCAAAACCCTAAAACCCCAAAGCCTAAGCCCTAAGCCCCTAAAAGCCCTAACCCCTAAACCCTAAACCATCTACGGAAATTGTGGACTTGGTCCAGGTGTCCCTTCCCATGGCTGCAAGATTTGGACGGGGCTCAGGTGGACGAGGCCCGGCCCGTGCATTATGTACCGTATATGTGTATTATATGTGTGTGTATCTATATACATATATATATATATATATATATATATATATATTATATCATATTTTTTTATATTATATTATATGATACGGTTCCTCTCGACATATATACTTGTACATGCAGTTCGCACGTGGATACATGTGTGTGTATATATATATATATATGTATACATATGTCTTGTCGAGATACAGTCTCCTTCATCGCGTACTAACACGCTGTTGGGAATGCGCCTGGTCCGTGTTGTCAGATGGCGAGTTGTCGATTCTGCAAGAAGCCTCCTTCTTGAAGTGCCGCCCAGAGAGCCCAATACCCCTTAATTAAGGAATATAGCTTAAATCATAATATGAAGCCCTATATAATTCAGGCCATATTCCTTAATCAAGGGGTATTGGGCTGTCTGGGTAGGTCTTGGAGGAGCTCTCCGACTCTTTCACCTTCAAGGATTTCAGAAAGGCGCAGTCGGTTTGGTGCTGGGTGCAGTGGTCTTCGTCCTCTAGCCTGTTCTGAGCCCATGCGCAGAACTGGCACAGGGCTGGAACCATGCAGACTTTGCCGAGTTCCCCAAATGGCACGAGGCATCGATCTTTCCTCATTTGCTTCTTCAGTTCCTATTGGGAGTTTCCGAAAATTAGGGGTGCCTTATTCTGGGGTCCTTATAATAAGGATCCTACTCTATAGGGTACTGTATTAGGGTCCCCTATTTTCGGAAACTCCCTTTTTGGTGCTTTGCGACTGCCCATTCTCGAGGAGCGAATGAAGCGTTTGTGCGCTACTACGCAGGCGGAGGCTTGCTCCTGCTTAAAGGATCATGGGACTTAGTAACGAGGGTTATAATTAGGGTAACTCTACTTAAAACTACATATAACCCCAATTAAGGAACTTATAACCTTACTTACAAAGTCCCATGATCCTCCAAAAACATAGCTTAAATCATATTATGAAGCTAATTTAAGCCATATTCCTTAATTAAGGGGGCCTTGAGCTCTCTGGGTGTGTGATGACTGCCAAACGAGCGTGGATCGCTAGTCGGTCGTCCTTTTTTCTCCAAGCGCCAGGGAGTGCAAATTCTTACAGCTGTTAGCTGTGTCAAGATTCTCAAGCATGCCCGAGCCAAACAGCTTTTCAATTGCAAACTTCAGAGATTGCTCTGGAGTTTTTCGCACAGTTCGATGGTGATGATGACGTTGTTGTTGATGATGATGATACACTACCATGCCAACTACGATGGCGCCTGAGACGGCTAAATCGACAGCGACCACCCCGACGACGACCACTACTTCTAGCAGGTTTCCAGTGTCGCCAGCCTTGCTATGACATCTGTGCCATTTCTACTACTGTCATTGCCATTACTGCCATTACTATGATTGTTGTCTCATGGGTAGTACTATAATGTTCACCATCACGATGATGATCATCATCATAAGCATCATGATCACCATCGTGGTGTCGACGCTGAGTTCGATTGTAAGTGTGAGACGCCAAGGTTTTCAGGGTCTCGCGTTCTCCGTATGAGGCCAAGCCCCCCGTGAAGCACCTGTACCCTAAAACCCGAAACCCGAAAGAAAAAAAGCCCTAAACCCTCTGACTCAAACCCTCAACAAAAAGCACTTAAACCCTAAACCCTAAATACGATATATACGATATATACGATATATACGATATATACTATATATGTATATACTCTAAATATAATCCCCAAAGGGAGAAGTCCATGGAAGCCTCGGCCAGGCTCAGCCTCTCGCTCCCCTGGGACTGGGAGGTGGGCTCGAGGGCTCGGGAGTCGAAAGCAGACACCTGGGATTTCTATATTGGGATCCCTTTCAGGGTTTAGGGTTTAGGGTTTAGGGTTTAGGGACCCTAAACCCTAAACCCTTTCAGGGTTTAGGGTTTTGGGGATTAGTTCTCTATATGAGACCCTTTTCAGCCCCGGATGACTTCTTGATCCTAAACCCTCAACCCTAAACCCTAAAGCTTGTTAGGACGGACGCCTCGGAGATCACAGTCGCATCCCACGGTGCAGGCGCCTCAGGCCAAGAGGTCGAGGCTGCTCAGGAGATCTTGGCTGAAGGGAAAGATGCCCCCAATCTTCGTAAGCAGAAGCGCTATGCGCATCTTGAGCCCTTCAGGTTTTCTGTAGGTTTGAAGGAACTTAGCTTCAAGACCTTCTAGCAGCAGCCACCGGTGGCTCCGGAAGTAATCGTCCTGATCATCCGCTGAAGCCCTTGACCTGCCTTGCCTGCGCTGAGGTCGCTGCCGCCTTGGCGGGACCGACGGGAGGGCAGGCCGCAGGGAGCAGCGGAGGTCTCTCCACCAAAATTAGAAATAGCAGAGTTTTCGGGTTCGGTGAAACGGCTTGGATGTGAACATCTTGACCATAATAATTTGCAAGCATCTCCACTGCAAACCAGCTGCTCGCGCCCGCAGGTGTCGCAACTCGGCGCCGGTTCTGGGCACTGCGCTCGGGAATTCTCATCATCTTGTTGGGGTGTGCCGCTGATGTTCGGACCGTCCGGCTGGCGTCAGCCCCACAAGGCTTCATATCCCATCGAACGGCGTCGCTGACCCCCAGGCTGCAGCCGGAACCTCACTGCAGTCCTAGGATGCAGTTGAGAAGAGGACGATGACAGGGAGCCGCTGTATAAAGCCTGCAACAGTTGCTCGCATGCAAGCTGCTTGCGCAAACGGTGTGCATTACTGTCGCGTTCCAGCACGAGGCCCACAGATGAAATGTCAGCGGGGGATGATGGGCCCTCAGATGCAGATTAGAATTTTCTGAGAGACGGGCAGATCAGATTTCTGAGATCATTTCCAGGTTGCTCCTGGAAACTTGCGGCTGTTGGCGAGGGAGCCAAGCCACACTGACACCCTTGCTCTCCCGGTGTCGCTGTAAGCATACGTAGGAACCTTGAATTGTAGTCCCGGAGCCAGGTGACTGGAAGCCGCGGGCACCGCGCGGGAATCTAAGAAAGGTAGCTGAGGCTTGCAAAGGCCAACAACGCGAGGCTTAAACGGCTTCGGAGACGTTTCCAACAGAGACGCGACTGCGAGGAGCACCGGGCACTCGCTCAATGCTGGGTCTGCTGGGTTTTGTGTTGTCGATGGGCTCGTTTCGTGTCTGTTTCGTGCTTTGTCAGAGTCGTTGCTCGTCGCGCGTTCCTGGTCGGCCAAGGTCAGTGCCACTCTGCTCGCTGACCGCAGCCTAACCGTGCCAAAGTTGCCGGGAAGGACTTCTGCCCAGCCGCCGGTGCGTCGCGGGAGGAAAAGCCCGCGATGGCTTCGGACAGAGAGTGTCCGCTACCGTGCTGAACCGGTTTGCAACTGCAAGCCAAAGTTCCATGCTGCGGGGTTGTGTGGTCATAAACCTGGCCGGTACGCAAGCAGTCAGTCTGCCCAACGAAAGTACGGGTGAAGCCTTGCGGTGCATCTTTGATTGCGAGCATACTGAAGAGAAGGGCATGAACTGGTTCGTCCCGGGCGCCGCTTTGGCTCAAACGGATGCCTGTCCCCGATTTTTTCTGTAGCCTGTGGTTTGGTTTGATTGTTTCGTAGTCAATTTTAGACTCGGTTAGATAATATTGGTGTGACACGTTGGTGAATTAAAAAAGCGAAGGAATTGGATGGTGAAGCACCCGATCTTTGCAAGTGTCCACGTTGACATGCCCCTACTTTATCAGCCTACTCTCGCAGATGTCCCTTCTACGGAGCAGTAGACCTTGCCCAAGGATGTTCGGGCCCAAATCCTTTCATGGAGCCTCCTGAAGTACATGGAGGCCCTCTGTGGCTTTCTTAGCCTCAGCCGATTTCTGCTCTGGATCCCTGGTGACCCTGGTCAGGTGGAAGCTTCTGGTGACGAGGCCGGGGTTCCGGTTCATGGAGTAGGTGCCAGATGCTCAGCTTGGAGGATCATGGGACTTAGTAGGTAAGGTTATAATACCTTAATCGGAGTTATAAGTAGTTATAAGTAGAGTTACCCTAGCTATAACCCTAGTTACTAAGTCCCATGATCCTTTAAGAAAGCTTGATGTAAGATTTCCTGCAGGACTTCTGGGAACGGGTGTCCTCCGCTGAGCCGTCGCAGGGGTCGGTGCCTGAGCTCGTGATGTTTGGCCTCGCTATCGAGATGGTTGAGCCTGAGCTCAGCACACTCAACTATGAAGCTGATGTGGTCAACCGCCACAAGCTTCTCACTAGCGAGGAGCAGTCAGCTCCCAAATCCTGCGCTGTACCCTAAACCCTGCAGTAACTAACCCCTTAAACTCCCTATAAACCCGAAGCCAGCAACCCTCAAATCCTAACACATACTTTCAGAAGTCAGAACGCCGCCTCCCAACGAGGCCGACCCCATTACACACCCCGCGCTCGCCCTCGGAGCTGCCGCAGTCGCCACACGGAGCGTGGGGCTCTGCGGGGCTCAAGCTATTGTTCTTCTTCTTCTTATTACTATTTTTGCACTTTACTGTGGACTCTTCTTTTCACCGGGGTTGGAGGGTTGAAGCTGTAAGTTTAAGATAGTTTGGGGCTGAAAGTTGGTGTACAGCCACTTTTGTGTCGAAGCCACATGTGTCGCCCAGAGAGTTGAACAGGCTGAAATCTTTTCGCGAAAGGTCAATACCAGTTCCATTGCAGTGCTCGACTGGAAGAACAGGGTTTTGGGGTATAGTCTATTCTAGTAAACTATATTGTATTAAGGCTTTCGGAATGATCTGTGTGTTGATTTCCCTGCTGCTTTTCCAGGTTTTCCTCTCACAGCCGGCTTCAATTGCCCTGATCTTAGCTCATGGTCGCAGACGAGTTGGCCTATGGGGTTTAGGGTTTTGTCCTTCTGCTCGGACTGGATACTTCTCTACAGATGCCCATGCATAGCACTGCCACTACCAAGAATCGGCTTACGATGAGATACGGTGGCTCATTTCAGGTCAGCTGAAACTGAGACTCTCGAGTCCTTCAGGATGAGCCTCTGCTTCTGCTGGACGAAGATCGGGTGCAGGCAGGTTTAGACGTCGTGTTCTGCTCGAAGCCGCGTGCAAGGAGTGCCAAGCAGCAGAAGCCCTGTACTTCGTGCAGCTTCTAGTTGCAAGTCGGCTTCGGGCATGCGTCCGTAAGTGGCTTTGAAGGCAAAAGGTGCCAAGTTGGAAAGGGCCCTCAGGTTGCCGTGGCCTCCGAAAGCCGGAAGCCATCCGGAAGCCCACATGCGAGTCATGCGAGCCTGCAGGAGCGGCATGAAGCAGAGAGAGTAGCCCTTCATGAGGAGCCCGTGCGAGGGTCGTTTTGTGGGCCCTTGCCCCTTCGTTGGCCCTTAGGTAGGACTGGGTAGGGTTCGAAAGCCCAGCTGCCAGCACTTTCTGCCGAGCTAGCTCGCTGCCGAAGCAAGACGCTCCTGAAGTCCGAAAGTAGTGGACTTGAAGAGGATGCCTGCAACGCTCGTTGATCGTCTCCATCTTCATGGATCATCTTCATGCAAAAAGCAGCGGGGTGGTCAGGGTTCCCTAAAGATCTACGTTCATGTGCTTTATACAGTCGGTTTTTAGGTGTCCTTTTTGGATGTAGTATCACATACCGCAACAAGACTTAGGATTCATCCCAAAATGCCATTACTACTTCTGCCATTGCTGCTACTGCTATTGCTGCTACTACTGCAGCTGCTGCTTCTACGACGAATACTGCTACGACGACGACTACTACTACCACTACTTCTTCGCCCTGGCGCCCTTCTCTTTCTGTGCTGGGGGCCCCAGAGTGTAGCCTTTAGTAGAGTTTCGGGGGTTTAGGATTTGGGGTTCGTAGGTTTGGGTTTTCGCCCTTCGTGGCGTTAGGTTTGGGTTTGGGTTTTCGCCCTTCGTGGCGTTAGGTTTAGGTTTGGGTTTTCGCCCTTCGTGGCGTTAGGGTAGGGGTCTTAGGATAGAGAGTGGTCCGTAGCACCTGCGGTTGTTCTCTTCGCTCCAAGTGCCAGGAGCTCGAGGAAGCAAGGCGTACTGGAAAGGCACCGGGGGCAATGTTGGGACCTTATCGTATAAGGTACCCCAAACCCTATTTTAATCATAACGGCCCTTACAGTAATTCAAAAAACAAGGCCGCTACAGGCCTTCATAAAGAACTCTCACTAGTGCTCATAGGATATGTGATGTACAGCGGATGCCGACAGTACTAGACAATGCCAGCAGCCGCAAAACGGGCATGACTGCAGCACTTCTTACAGTCAAAGCACCCGAAATAGGGGTTTAAGGGATTTCTTGGAGTTAAAGATACCGCAAATAGGGGTTTCAGGGTTTAGGGTTCAAAGTTCCTCCCGAGATTCTCAAGCTGTCTCGGCCTGGGATGTCGGCATCTCTTGGAGATTTGGATACAGACGGAGTTTTCTTTGGTATTGCGTCCCGATGCCAGGGCTTGAAAAGGAGCAAACCCTTCAGATTTGCCATCGGGTTTGTACAGTTCTCCTGCAAAGGAGCCAGGCGTTTTCAGCTCGCTGCACAGGTTTTTCACCCAGCCTCCCTCATGTCAGCAGCACCGGCCGAAGGGGGTCACAAATTTCAAGCCCATCCCTACTACACCCTCAACACTAAACCCAAAACCCCAAAACCGTAATCCCTGTCCGGCTGGGGAGTTCTTCCGGCATCAGGCGGACCGGGCAGCAGCGGATGCCATGTCGGACAAGGTGGAGGCAGATTTGCTTCTGGGGAGCATCCGGGCCAGGTCCGTCTGCACGACAGACATGACTAACATTACTTCCGCATATAACTACCTACTGACGTATTGTTACACAATCACGTCTTGTATAACAGGAACCACCAAGTCCCAAGTATCCATTCGAGTTTTTTTTGCAGTTCTTCGGGGCTGCCTGGGCAGGAACTTCAACGAGAACGTGAAGATACCTGTCGGGAGAAACACAGGCTGGGAGGAGGGCCATCGAACTTGGCGGCTTGTCATGGCTGGATATTGTGAAAGAAGCACTCAGATGCCGACTAAGCCAGCTTGTTTTCGAACTGCTTCCTTGCGAGACCAACCAGTGGCCCAAATTGTCACTGCCAGGCTTGAGAAGGAGAACGAGGCCATGATTCCGTCTGACCAATGTCAAAATGCGTCACACTGTGAGATACCGTGCGGCTTTCGTGATCGAGTCTTCTCCATCAAGGTTTACAGGTCGAGATGTCTATCCGACGATCGGGATGGAAGTCTCTGTCGGGGCTGGAATTCAACGGATTCGGGTCTTTGCTCGGAGGGTGCTGGGAGGACAAGCCGCCAAGGCTTCTGGATCTAAACCCTAAACCCCTAAACCCTAAACCCCCAATTTTCCGGGTCTTGTCTTTGGGCTACGGCACCGCCTGGCCTTGCCAGGTCCTTCGTCTCCAGCTGCAAGACCACCATGGCATTATGGCTGCCCCGGCATGATCACGGCTGCATCCTGTGGAGCCCTGGGTTCGGTTGAACTTCTGTTGGTATCGCTGGTAGACCCCGCAGAGCTCAAAAGTCTTCCGGTCTTGCGTTTGAATTGCTGAAAGTCGTTGGACGCCTGAGCAGCACCCATGGCAAGGCAGCAGAATGGGGGCAGACGCTGCAGTTCCAAGAGAGGTGCTGCACAAGATTTAGAATCGCGAGCAGTTGACAGTAGTGTACCAAATTCCCAGCACCCAGTGCAATAGGACTACTAGTCACAATCTTGAGTTTTAAACGTAACATTGTTGCTACTGCCCCCATCACGAAGTTGGTGATCGATATTATCACCGTTGCTGTTCTTTTTGTCGAATCTCTCATGAACACAACTCAAATTGTCCATGTTAGCAATTGACTATCACATCCGTTTTGGTGCCGGTGGTTCTTCTCCTCCACTCCAACTGCTACTGCTGCCACCGCTGCCAATGCCATGAGTATAGTCAGATTGATTGCGGTTGCTGTTGGTTAAATCATAAGTGTCGGGCATGATTTTGTGACTATCTAGGAATGTGTCTTATCACTATGGTTCGTTCCATGAACCTTTGTTATTGCGCTATTCCCTGTTCATACGGAGGATGTTATTGTCATCTTGTTACTATTGTGGTTTGCGCTCGTGCCGTTCGTTTCAGGAACACGATGTGTGGCCTTTTCCGCAGTTCATATTTACAGTTCTGGTTGTTTTGCGATTCCGCTCTGGTATGTTACTGTCACTGTGGTGCTAGCTGGTTTCGTGCTTGCGAAGTTTTCTTTCATTCCTACTACTCTTCTTCGTTATACGAGCACTGTTGTAGCTTTCATGGCAGTGAATTCATTTTCTTGTGATTGCGCCACGATGATGGTAGTGAATACCATCGCGAGAACAGTACTCCTAAACCCCAAACCCTAAACCCTAAACCCGAAGCCCCAAACCCTAAACCCCAAACCCTAAACCCTAAACCCGAAACCCCAAACCCTAAACCCTAAACCCTAAACCCTAAACCCTAAACGCAATGTTGCCTCCGAAGCTGTGGAGGCTTCGTCAGGAAGAAGCAGAAGTCGAGCGGTTGGCCTTCGAGGTGCCCCGTCGTTTCCGAGAAGCGCGCAGAATGCGGCTTGAGGCGTGTAACAATAATAATAGTAGTAGTTATATATAATCGTAGTATTAACACATAATAGTAGTAGCGATAATCGTAGTATTAATAATTATCCTCAAAATAACAATAATAGTACTAATCAGCATGGTAGGGCGTGGTAGGAGGAAGGCCTTTCATGACAGACGTAGTACGTAGTAGCTATGTAGTACGAGCCGTAGCAACCGCTTGGGCGAGATACTATTGGAATGATCCAAGCAGCAAAGCATGATATGAATGTCACCAGAGGTATCTCGACAAGGCAGCGGGTTATGAATCGCGACGATAGCAATCACAGTCATGGCTGTGTCGAATTTAGGAATGAATAAAGGTGCCCGTCCTCGATAATGACTCCAGTACTCGAGTCACTGAAGGCATATCAAGTCGTAAACCTAAACCAATGACTATTGCCTCTGATCTTCTGAGTAGCCAGGTTGCCGAGCTCCGAGCTGCGCTTGTGCTGCGCGACGAGGCATTTGTTTGCGGATGCCTGAGGGCTGACGGATGCAACCGAAGCCCCGCAGCCTAACATCTTACCGTGCCCAGCCACAAGATGCCCAAGACTGGACAGCCCAACCCAGCTGAGCCCATCTCCCGCAAATGTATCCCTGAACCTTTTCCAGGAGCTGGGCCACCTCCGCCGGGTCGGGGTCCTCAGCATCCCTATCCCCATCATCGTCCCGACATGACCTATCCAAACACCAGCTTCGGACCCTCCGTTCTGACTGTGGGCCTCACTGAGGATGCGGCGCAATGGAGACTTCTGTCGCGGCACAAGAGCGGGCAGTGGCCTTGTCAGAGGTTGTAAGGACGCTTACGCTGATGAAGCTGTAGACCATTGTGCTGCTTTCTGTGACATCTTTGCTGACTCAATGCGAGGCTTTTTTGCCAGTCTCTCTCTCTCTCTCTCTCTATCTCTCTTCCGATTGTCACCCACGTGTGTTTTGTTTGCGGGTTGTGTTGACGCTTCACCCATAAAGGTTGACGCCCGAAATCCTCAGTGAAACTAAGCGCTTGCATCGAATGCCACAAGGCTCGGGGACGTCAGTTCCGATGAGATTGAGCGTGTCCTCGAGGTGCGCGAATCGGGACATGTAAGCTTTGTGGAATGCTTTCTGTAGCAGTTGCATCAGAAAAGGTCAATGGAAGTGCGAATTTGGTAGGGCATACGCATCCAGTTGTCGGCGGCTTTTGACGTTTCTGATGAACTCTGCCTTCTTTGTGGAGGAAGCCGGGCCGGGCCTGGCCCAGCTTGAGGCCGAGTCCCGCGCAACTTGGCCTGTGCGAGTCGAGCCGGGGCTGAATCGGGGGGCCTTGGGGTTTAGGGGTTTAGGGTTGAGGGGGTTAGGGGTTTAGGGTTTAGAGGTTTAGAGTTTTAGGGGTTTAGGGGTTTAGGGATTTAGGGAAACTATGGGCTATTTATAAGGGACGCTGCTAGGGCACTATGAGGGGTATTGCAAGGGGTACGATGACGGTCGCCTTAGGTGTACTAAGGGGTTCTGCAAGCTATTATAGGGCGCTTTGGGGGGGTACTGTAAGGAAGGGGTACTTCTGGTACGAGTTTATTCTCAGCCGTTGGCGCTGCCAGCATTGTCCTCCACAAGAGTCTTTGGATGCAAAGCTTGCTGCTTGCTGAGAGATGGTAAGCTAGGCTGCTGACGCGACACATTTCCGGCATCTTTCTCTGTCTCTGTCACAGGGGCCTTAATAATTAGCATGGGTTCCTCAAAGGTGTCATTATATATGTATATATATATATACACACTTATATATGATTACAAGTTCCTCGAACAGGCACGTGCTCGAGTCGCCCGCAGCCAGCTGCGAGACGAGCCGGGGCCCTACGTAACGCCGGAAGTCGGCAGAGACTTACCTTTGCTTAGTAGGGAATGGCATAATCATAACTACTATTACTACCATTCTTGAATTTTCCCTACTAACCAAAGGTAAGCAGCGAGAGGGCCACCGTACCCTCTTGTGGACCTGCGCATCAGAGCTCTGCAGGCCCCATCTACATGTGGGTGGTTGTCAAAATTAAAGTCCCTTTTTGGGTCCCTACTATAATATGGCACCTAATATTTAGGGTACCCAAAAAGGGACCCTAATTTTGACAACCACCCGCATGTGTAACCATGGAGCCTGTTGCAGTACCCCGTTTATGCCCCTCATTGTCCCACTTATTCTAGTGTGAGGCTGGAGCAGCAGCTGTGTGCCGTGTGCAGAGATTCCAAGAAGGCAGGGTCGGCATTGGGTATCTGGATGATGTTTGTGGTTTCTGCCGGAGAATCCAGTGCGTGCGGCTTGTGCCAGTTCCAACTCTTTCGATCAAGCATCCATCCATCTTGGCATGCTGGCGCTGGGATACCGTCATAAAAAAACCGTTAGGACTACTATTATTATTATTATTATTATTAGTGTTATTGGTCTTGGAAAAGTTGATGTGCGATCGCCATCTCGCCGGATACCTGAAGCTGTCAGGCGGTCCTGTTTCTGCCGTGCCAACATCTATGCGTTTGCGAAGGCACGCTGCTGCCCTAGTAAATGAGGCAGTGCATCGATGCGTCCAGTGATGCTCTTCTGCATGTTCGGGTAACTGCATCCAGAATCTGATTTTGATTTCATCGGGGAGCCTCTGGACGTCCACGACAGGCTTTCAACACGCCCAGCAGGCCAAGTCTAAGAGAAGCGCCCAAAGCCATATATCTCAACCTTCCCCATTGTCAAGTTGACAGCCAAAAGACCAGGGTGCCGGCAAAGACTTCGACCCTATCGATGCCCGATGTGCCAGGCCCCTCGCAAGCGTGCTGCATGATGAGAGTCGGTCACGGGTTTCTGGGGTCGGGTCTCGGTGATTCTAGGCAGCACGACCTACAGTTGATGATACAAATCCTGCATTACCCACAATAAGGAATATACCGTAATTCCCATAGTTGAGGGTCCTTAGGGTAATGCAGGGTTTATATCATCAACCGTAGTTCGACTGGTGGGTGTTTTTCGAAGCTCCTGGGTCTGAAGAAGTAGCAAGATCCTGTACAAATCCCCCAAATGGCCCTCGCAACTTGTGCTTGATTTGGTACGATCATCTACCCCGCTCGAATTTATGAGGCTGTTTTATGCCGTGCATGGATGCAGGAAAAAATGATGTGTTAATATGCATCGTCACTTTTCAGGAACACCGAGGATGACGGGATAGTCTGCGAGTCTGCAGGAGCCTATTCAGAGCCACATCTCTCGCGTCCATTTCTGATGGCAAAGCAATGTGACCGACCGGATACTGCATCTAGTTCTCCCCCAAATTGTGTAATTTTCTGGACTCTCCGGCCTGGCAACATCTCATGGCGACATTGTTCTGTGGATTCTGTACTTGAAGATGCTGAAGCTCGTTCCGGAGATGTCTGGCACCTATTTGAAGAAAGTTCTACTCCGGCAGCAGGGTGCCTGTGGGAACATAGCTATGCGGGCCTTTCGGCAGCTGTCTTTGTCAACAAACTTTGTTTCTGCCGCTGTGCAGCACCCACATGTGCCCATTGTCCATATGATTCTAGCAAGCTGTCGGAGTGCGTCATTAAGTTGGTTTCACCTCGAGCTTCCAACAGGAAAAGTGGATCCAGGTCCGGTGATCTTACAGCGCTCGAACCAGTGTAGCAAGTATTGGCCAGTATGTGCCACCGCCAATGAATATCCAGTGTAGAGGGCTCTGCCGTGGCATGCAAGCTGGAGCGCGATCCTCTCTTGGTGCCTGCATTTGGAGCGTCTTGCTCAAGCGATCTTTGCAGCCACATGATTCACGGTGCAAGCTTCCGACACCCTCCCCAAAGATTCGTGCAAGACAGGTTCCCACCAACTGTCAAGCCCGCTCACCTTCAGTGACTTTAGTGCAATGCGTGCCAGCTCTCACAGAACTGTCGGTCATGCTGGCTAACCGGCTAACCAACATTGCCCATTGCTGTCATTGCCACACGATAACACACAAGCCATGGCGCCACAGGCAGGCATCGGGAAGTGCGTAACATGGCCGGAGGGTCGTCTCTAGCAGGTTCCGAGGGGTCTTCTTGAGGCTGCAGCTGTTCTGCCTTTGAACTCTATGTTGAGCTGCGAACGGCCTCTGTCATCCACAAACAAAATCTTGACTGATGCCAAGCGGTGGTTGATCACGGCTTCGGAGTTGGTGTTGCGCGTGTACATGTACGATTGCTATAAGGGTTACCAAGAGTCAAATATATATGTGTTAAGAGAGGAGTGAGCATCAGCTAAACCCGAAACCGTTTACAACGTCCCGAAACCGTGAAGCCACGACTCCGTCAGAGCCGTCGCGCGTGCCCGTGGCCGGACATGGATGCCTGGTGGGCAGCCTGGACCGGCCCTGGGCTTAAAGACACATGGGAGTTTTCCGAATATTAGGGGTATCTCATTTGAGGGTCCGAGGGTCCCCTATTTTCGGGAACTCCCACATTGACGTCCGAAATTTTAGGGTTTAGGGCAAGCCATGGCAAGCCTAGCTAGGCAAGCCTAATCTTAATCCTAATCTATGAGGTTTATGTGAGATCGAAAGAAACATGCTGACCCCGGTGTTGACTGCAGTTCCTGAACCCTGAGCCCACAAGCCCAAAACCGAGCACGATTCAAGCACCAACTTGCACCCTGAAGCATAAGCCCTGAGCTTAACTGCGTCCACGGTTCAGTTCTGGATCCTAGACCACAAAACCCGAATCAATTAGCGTTTCGGGTTCAAGAGTCTCTGAAGTGTGGGTTTGAGGATTTTGAGACGGCTCAAAGCCATGAGCCTGCCCGGCTGAGACCTTCCAACTTCCTAACACCAATCCTTTGCCTGGTGTAGATGGGTTACGCGGATGCCCCTAGAACCCAAGTCCCCAACCCTGAAGCCGGAATCATAAACCTCTGAACAAGGATGCTGGAGTCCTTAACCTGCTAAAGCCCGCTGGAGGCCCAGAGGAAGTGCCGTGCTCAGAGTGCCAAGATCCCACGAAGCGCTTCAGGCTTTCCGGCTCATGGTTTAGTTGGCATGGGGGTGCATGTACTGGTTTATGGCTCTTGGACCTGATGTCCGGGCTTTCAGAGTTGGCGTAGAAGTCTTGCGGCGTCGCTACGGCAGGAACGAGGCTGTTCAGTGATTAGGACTTTTGCCTCGACAGTGATGGCTTGCTGTTATCCCATCCTGCTGATTTCCGATCCTTCAGGCACGGTAGACCAGTGCAAGCAAGGACGATGACGCTGTGGCCACGCATGTCATGGTCCGATCTTGTCTTGAACATCCTGGAAAGGTGGACTTATGCCCTCTTGAGACCTGGAGTCCCAATGCCTCGACAACTTCAGGTGTCCTGCAGGCATGAACTCTCTTGGTCGAGTCGGCTGTGAGAGTGGCAATCTTCCGACAAGCCTTGGAGATACTTGCAGATATCGGTTTAGGGTTTAGGGTTTAGGGTTGTAAGTTCTCCGAGGATCCAGAGGCCGTCGAGCGGATTCTGCTGGCTCCCCAAGAAGGGTTTCGCTGAAGATCCAGGTCCAGGTTTCCCTCTGTCATGCTGCCACTTTGCAGGCTTCGGACTTTGAGTGCATGGGATTTGGAGCTTATGTTCTTGAGACAGGCTTTCGTATTCGTGCACCGCCGTGTTGAGCATAGAGAGGCCCGCAAGTATCTACTCGGGCACTCGAAGTGCGCTGCGACGGGACACCGGCCGAGCTCGTGGGACGGGTTTTAGATCGAGAGGCCGTGACGATCCGATGTATTGTATGTATCAGGCTTGCACTCTTAACAGGCCCTCCACTGCGGAAAGGTTCTCATCTAACGCCGAGGCGGGGTGGCCCGCTGAAAACCCTCGACGACGAGAAGAACCTTCTGCAGATCTTTCTGGCTTGGGGCCCAGCCGGAGTCCACTGTGCAGTAGAGTGTGCCAACACGTGCTTCCGCTTAGATTCGCATGGCCGAGAGAAGGATTCCGCGGTAAGCGCAACAGCCAAGCGTCACGTGTAGATCGGATTGGCTACTGCAGATGGCTTGGGAAGATTTCTGCCGTCCGAGCCTGAGTGCGCACGGCTTGGGTGGAAGGTTGTTGGCTCCGGTTCTTCTCCTTCTTGAGGTCGTTTGGCGAGATGGCGGGGCGGAGGGCGCTAAGGGGAATGGGCGTAGACTCTTGCGAACTCGGAGCCCGACCAAATCCAAGATGCGGGTTGCCGCAATCCTCGCTCACGCACGTTTCTCACGTGAAGGAGGCTCTGGTACGTTAGGCAGCCCAGCTTTCCGGAGAGTTCCAAAGCTCTGGACTTCCGGCGAGCGCAGGCCCCGTCTGGAATCAACTTGTAAGCTCATGCATCTTCAACGTCCCCTTCTTGTCGAACTGGTCGGTTTGATGGCAACGATTCATGAGAACTCCAAGAATCCGGCCAGACCCTTGCCCCTCCTTTCTCGCGCATCGCGTGTGCACTGAGGGCCCTGCTGCTAATGCGCAGTCGAGGCAGGGACGTGGTGTGGTGTTCCGAGGGTTTGGGATTTGTGATCCCGAGAGCCCCAGGTTTGATCTTCCGTGGCCTGACAAGTCCGAGGGAATCTCCACCCTGTTGAGGAAACACCAGCAAGCTTGACACCCTGGCCCTCGGTCCTTTCCGAACCACGCAGTACCCGGAATCGCGGAACCGATCCGGCAACTCCAGCCTCCCACTGATTGCACTAAGCTCACGTCTGCTGAGACTCCCGCCGAGGCTGGGACAGGGTTCCGAGAGTTTGGGATTGTGCTCCTGCTTTGCCGAGCGTGTTCCGAATGCCCAAGTCATGAAGACCACACTTCCCGATGAAGTTGTTGGTCTCAGCCTCAGTTTTAAAAAGGACCTTCATCTTGAGCACCTCAGCATTACTTTAGTCGCAAGCTCAACCGCCGGAAACTTGTGCGGCTAACAGTTTAAGTCGTTGTGTCCTGTGATTCTTCGGAGCACCAGGAAGCCGGCAACATGACCAAACATCATGGCATTTTAGACTGCGTTGCTTGGTATGTCTGGTATGTGCTGCGTGTTACTTCATCTTGCATGATGACTAAGTCTACCATAGGAAGCTTCTTTCTTTGCTTGCTGTAGGGCCGCCTCTGCGAGAATTCACATTGCAGCAGGCTTAAGTCCTTCGGGACTCTGGGGGTGTGGGGACATTCAGAGTAGATATCTGGGAGCTGGCTGCGTAGCTACAGTTGACTTGCAAACCCCGAGTGCTTCGATTGCAGCCTGTCTGTGAGTCGAGAAAGTTTTGCTACTCGTGCTAGTATTTGTTGTTGCACGTGTGGGCTCGGAGACGCAGAGACACCAAGGCAGCCCGTTGGCAGATGACAGAATCGGAATCTCTTGCAATGTCGTCGGAGCCATTCGGTGTCCTTCTTGAAACTCTGCGGGGACAACTTCGTTTGCCACGTTGTCATGTCGACACAAAGCCAAGACCTGGCCGAAACACTGCGAGCCAGAACGACCTCAAGCAAGACCAGGTCGAAGCAAAGACTTCGACCCCATGTGCCAGGCCCATCGGAAGTGTGACTTCGGATTTCTGGGCTCGGGGCTGGGGCTTGTCTGCAGATGTCTGCAGCATGCGGAACTTCTTCGAGGATGTTTTGGATTTTTGTGCTTCGGTCCTAGGCTTCAGGGGGATGTTTTCTGGCACCACGCCTGGGTCAAAGAGCAGGCTGCCCGGTGCGAGCTCCTTCAGCAGGCCTGTGAGGGGATCGGGAGGGCTGTGCTTCGGGGCAGGCCTGGTCGCAAGTACAACATGACGTTCTCGACAATACCTTGGGTGACAAACGGGCGGCTTATGATCCAGGGTATGCCATGCAAGGATGCAGGATTGCAGGCTAGTGTTCCGCACCAGTGCGAGTCTGTATGAGCCCATTCAGGCCACATCTCTCACAACCATTTCTGAGAGGAAAGCAATGTGAATCTCGTTCGCCAGCGAATTGTGCAATTCTCCGGGCTCGCCGGCCTATCAATGCTCTTGGCTGCTTTCTTGCCGCAGTTCGCCTCATTCTATGGCTATCTTGGTGCCGCATACATTTGCAGACTGCAGACCTCGCAGTTGCACGCGAAACCTGGCTCCGGAGACGTCTGGCAGCTCGCAAGTTAGCTCTGGCAGCCGGCCGCCTGTGGGAACATGGCTACACGGGCCATTAGACGTTCTTCCTGTCAAGTGACTTCCTGATGTCGTTGCGCAGTTTCCACGGGTGCCCAGTGTCCATAATATGATTCTAGCAGATTCTGGCAAGCTGCCGGAGCTGCGGCATTCAGTTCATACCACCTCGGGCCTCCAAAAAGACAGCTGAAGCAAGGTCTGCAGGTCTGACAAAGCTCGCCGAATAAGTGTAGTCAGTTGCATGTGGCCTGGTAGGGCAACATCCTTTCCACTTAAATTGGCCAGTAAGATCTTATTGGAGTATTGTATGGGGTCTATAGGGCGCTGATTAGTGGTGTACAAGTTGGCGTGTGATGCACTTGGAGCCGTCAAGCATCTTGGAGCCCGCGTCGGGAGCATTCTGCTCAAGCGATATCCGTCACCACATGGTTCACGTTGCAAACTTCCCGTTACTTCTCAAGCAAGACCTTGAAGCAAGTACAGTTGCGCAGACGGTGATGTCAAGACCGCTCATCTTCATGCATTGCATCGCATGGCTAAGCAGCGTTGCCTACCACGGTCATTGCCATGCTTCAACGCTTCAGCGAGTGAGCCACGGCCCGATCCACGCATTCTAAGTCATGATGCCCTCAAAGGCCGGAGTCGGGAAGTGCATAAGATAGCCAGCACGTTTCGAGGTGGCCTTTTGAGGTTATTCCTGTTCTGCGTTCGAGACCCCTACATTCCTTCGTGATGAGCTGCAGGGGCCCTTCAGACCAACATCTCCGGCACTGTTTCCGACGGCAAAGCAAAGTGACCGGAGGCAGTATCTCGTTTTTATTCCTTTTCCTCTGAACCTCGGAGTTTTCCAAACTCTCCGGTCTAGCGACGTGGAGGCTACCTTGTTGCTTGGCTTCTCCGGGCTTGTCTGGTGCTTGAAACTCTAGCTACTAGCTCTAGTTTCATCAGAAAACCTTCCGGGATTTCCGGACCTGTTCAAGAAAAGTTGTAGCTTGACAGTACGCGGTGTGTGTGTGTGTGTGGGCACATGGCAACCCGGACGTTTTCCCATTGTTCTTCTCTGCGGTACACGCAGCAGCATCCCCAGATGCTCGGTGTCCAGAGGTCTCTAGCAGGCTGCCGGGAAAATAGTTGGATTCAAATTGGGCATCCAACTGGAAAATCGGAGGAAGGGGTTTGCAAAGCCGTGTAATAGAGGTGCAGTCGGGCAAAGTCCTGTCCAACGGTGCTGGCAGGTGTGGGTCATTGAAAATGTTGCTGTGTACAAGCTGGAGGGTGATGCAATCTCGGCCTCCGTCGCAAGCATCTTGCTCAAGTGATCTGAAACCGCAAGACTCACGATGCGAGCTCCCGTCAAGGTCTCCGTGAAGCCTCCTAAATCTTCGGTGGAGGGCAGCGCTCACACAGAAGCCTTTCGGCCAGGCTAGGCAATGTTTATATGATTGCAACATACTTGTATACAAGTAAGCTTTGACTCCGACGACCTCTCATCATCATCCTTGTCGCCATGCCGTCCGAGGCCGGAGTGTGATGCGAAAGCATGGTCTGGTGTGAGGGTCGTCACTCACACATTTCGACCGTCGTTTTTGAGGCTACACCGTTGCTGCGCTCAAGGGTCCTCCATGTCCATGATGCGCTACACCTTGCTTGGTTCTTGGTTACATGGTTGACGGACAAGGGCCCTTGGTCATACACCAAGAACTTCCTTGATGTTGCCGAAGCGGTGCTGGATTACGCACCGAAGGTTCTCAAAACAGGGCTGCAGTGCAAGGCTTCCTGCTCAGGCGGCTTCCAGATTTGGGTCTTCATTTCTCAGTTCCCTAAACGGCAGGTAAACCCTGACCCCTCGAACTGCAAACGGTTCTCCATGCTGTGAGGCTCGCTTCGTGTGCCCGATGTTCGCGATCCCGGCCTGGTGGTCCGAGGCCTGAAAGACGGCTTGAGTGGTTTTGGGCTCTCAGCGTTTTAAGGTTTCGGGATTCAAGCGGGGTGGGTTTTTCAGTTCCACGGTTTGGGACCGGCCTTAGCTTGGTATGTATGCCTCTGTGTGCATACATATGCGCACACGCACACACACAGATATCTATCTGTGTGTTTGTGCACATGTGAGTTGGCTTCGGGTTCCGCGATGCTTGGTGGCAAGGGGGTTCGCGTCTTGAGCCTGCGGCACAAGGTCACTGAAGCAGGCGCTGAAACATGTGAGAACGCCTGCAATGCGGAAGTCAGAATGAGCAAGCCACAGAGGCGACTTGATTCGAAGGTCCATCACCCGGAACCCCAAAACCGTGTAAGTAGCTTCCGGTGGTTTCCCGGAAGGCCCTCGGGGCATTTGCCTAAAAGTGGCTGCATACGCATGCGGCGCCCGACCCGAAACCTCGCCGACACTGCGCAAAGCCCTAGTTTGCCGTGGAAGGCGTTCCAGGCGAAGGAGCCCGAGCCGCCCATCAGGTCGAGCTCCGTGTTTTGGGGGGGGCATAAAGGGAACTCCAGAAAGTTGGAATATGGTTTCAGGGTAGGATACCCTATAATTTACCATAAAGGGTTTAGGATAATCATATTCCAACTTTCTGGCTTTTACTGTAAGAGGTGGACACCCCGGGAAGCCTCGCCTGCAGGGGCCTGGGCAAGCTCACGACAATCGACGACGAGAAAACTCTTTGGCAAGTTTTTCAAGCCCGGGGCCCAGCATGGCAGAGCACCTGAGCGCGTTTCCGGTCAGGGCGAATGAGGTCTTGAGTTCCGTTAGACATCCCACTTCTGAGTTTCTAAGTTTCCTGAGACGGCCGCGTGTCATGTGTAGCTCGGATTTGCTCTGCAGATGGCATATGCCGACTTCATGCGTTCGAGCCTGAGTGTGCACGGGGTTGAGATTCTAGATTCTGATAGTTCGGTGGAAGCTTGTAGGCACGGGGCTTGAAGTCCTTGTCCTCTTCGTTTACCTTTCGGGTCGTGTCTGCAAGAGGATGGGGCAGTCAGGCGCAGCAAGGACCAAGAAGCTCCCAAACCCTCTTCTCTTTTCTGCTTCTGGTGCGAGGGCCTCTGCGAGTTTGAAGCTCAAAGCATCTCAAAGCGCTTGAACAGACTCCCACCCTTCCCCCCATCGTGCTGTATCGATTCGCTGGTGTACTGAGTGCCGTGCTGCTAGCTGCTTGCCGCCGGCAGCGCATGCCAGGCGAGGGTTTGGGAGTTGAGTTCACGCCTCGCTGAGTTCCCCAAGTTTGACTTCCCGACCCGATTGAAGGAGCCCCCGTTGCCGACGAGGTTTGTGGATTCAGTCCGTTTGTTCTGCTTTGGCCAGCCCAACTGCGATTTTGAATCTATTCTCCAAGCCTCTTGACTCTTGACGACATCTATCAGCTGTCAAGCTTGCTTTGAGCAAGCCCCGCGCTCATCGTACTTTCGCGACCGAACCATTATGTGGTGCAGTGCTCTAGCGGTGCGAGCAAGCCCACACGAAGGAGTGGCATATTCGGTGCACATGTAA